GCAGAAATTTTCAGCGCACGTCCGGCGTAACTTCGCATGCGCCGAATTCAGCGCATGGCAGCAGCTGAATTTTACGGCGCAGGGCGGCCGCATAATTTTTCGAAAGCCCTGTCCCCGAACTTGGTCGGAACGCTGGTCAATCTAGCAGCAGATTCCCCCTGCCGGTGGGCGGCTCTGGACTTCTGGAGAGGTTCCGGGACGATACGTCCCCGCCCCGGTCATCACGTGCTCGAACTGACGAGCCGCCCCGAGTTTACTCGGCGGAGGAGCGGCCGCCCAGGTGAGGGCTCAACCCTCGGCGTGGAGCTAGGTATGGAAGACCTTGTTGAACATCACCAAGCGTCATTAAGTAGTAGTGCAGTGGGTTCCTGGCTCCTCCCCACTGCGGTATTGAGGGGAATGAGAGCGCGGCCGTCCTGCCCTGAAACGCCGTCCAGGGTGGTTCATTGTGCGGCCTCGCATCAATGGCGCGACAACTGGTCCGACTGGTCCGAGTCACTATTCAAGTCACTCCTCGGGAGCACGCCGCCGCTCCCTAACCCCCGGGCCTGGAGAGGACCGAGCAGATGCCGTTTCGACTTTCAGTGCACCAGATGAGGGCGGGCCACTGGGGCCGCTCGCTACAGCACGTGCATCAAATCGTCTGTCTCTGCTCCGCTGTGTGCCAGTAGTGCCCAGACAAGCGGTGCCTTGTATAGCTCTGCGCCGCGTACCGGGAGGAGGTTGATGTGCTGGAACACGTGCTGCTCCGCTGCCCGACCTTCGCTGGCTCCCGCTAGCTTCTAAAACACTGCTCCGTCAATTTTTTGGCCCCGGAACTTCCGGCTCCGGCCTTGTTTCACGGCACGCTGCTACAGTGCGCTAAGCAGGGATGCGGAGCCGGAGCCGGAGCCGCCGGAGCCGGCATATTTTGCCCGGAGCCGGAGCTGTGAAACAATATAGCCCGGAGCCGGAGCCGGAGCCGTAAAAAAAGGGGCGACTCCGGCTCCTTTTCTTAAGAGGAAACAATTATTTACCTAGTTCGGTTTGACAGTACAAGGAGTAAAACAATGTGGTATTCAAAATAGCCTTGTTATACAAATACAGAAGCAACGTGTACCAATCCCATCGCCTTTTTTCTTCCACCCGTATTTAATTGATCGTATAGGGGATGTACTGAGTAGAAGCCAGAGCCGGAGCCGCCAGAGCCGGATCATTTTACTCGGAGCCGGAGCCGGAGCCGGAGCCGCCATGACATTTCACCCGGAGCGGGAGCCGGAGCCGATTTTTTTTCTCTGGAGCCGGAGCCGGAGCTGTCTGAAATTTCCACGGCTCCGCATCCCTGGCGCTAAGAGTATTGAGGCATTGGGTTTGTGGAAATAAAAAACTTAATCAGACGCTAAAAAATCGGAGGGCGTTCAAGGCCCCGGAATGCTCTGTCTGGTTGATACAGCCAGTACAGCCTTGATCGGTACATGTGCAGGTAAAAGTATACATTGAGTCCGAGTGACTGTTAAAAGATAGTTTTCATATTCTTACATTATTTGACATCCTGAATCCAAAAATGATATTTATATGTCCTGGAAATAAAAGAAAAAACATAATCAAACCTGACCTAACCTTACCTATTTACCTACAACCTACCAACCTCAACCTACAACCTACAAACCTACAACCTAACCTAACCTAACCTACAAACCTACCAACCTAAAACCTAAAACCTACAAACCTACAAACCTACAACCTAACCTAACCTAAAACCTAACCGAAAGTATACATTGAGTCCGAGTGACTGTTAAAAGATAAAGTTTTCATATTCTTACATTATTTGACATCCTGAATCCAAAAATGATACTTATATGCAGGGATGCGGAGCCGTGGAAATTTCAGACGGCTCCGACTCCGGCTCCGGCTCCGGAGAAAAAAATCGGCTCCGGCTCCGGCTCCGGCTCCGGGTGAAATGTCATGGCGGCTCCGGCTCCGGCTCCGGCTCCGAGTAAAATGATCCGGCTGCGGCTCCGGCTTCTACTCAGTACATCCTCTATGTATGCGATCAATTAAATACGGGTGGAAGAAAAAAGGCGATGGGATTGGTACACGTTGCTTCTGTATTTGTATAACAAGGCTATTTTGAATACCACACTGTTTTACGCCTTGTACTGTCAAACCGAACTAGGTAAATAATTGTTTGCTCTTAATTAAGAAAAGGAGCCGGAGTCGCCCCCTTTTTTGACGGCTCCGGCTCCGGCTCCGGCTCCGGGCTATATTGTTTCACGGCTCCGGCTCCGGCTCCGGCTCCGGGCAAAATATGCCGGCTCCGGCTCCGGCTCCGGCTCCCAGGGGCGTCGCCACGGATTTTTGACTGGGGGGGACGGATTGGCTGACTAAAAACCCAAAAGTTAGTTAGTTTACCGTACAATTTCAGGCGTATGCACTACTTGTAACGCATACACAATACACATGTTCTCATGATCTCGCGTGGAGGCGTTATTAGTCACACTCTTCTCTACCTGTGGATGAATTGGCGGCGCGAAGCGCCGCGAAAATTGGCAAAAACTCTTGGCAAAACAGTCCCAAAACGCATAAATTTTGCATCCCGCGTAATAAGTTTGATACCAGGACAGTTAGGGTCTGGCCACCAAGTCAAGCAGCCCTGCCTCTAAAAAATCGTGTGGTCCTCTGTAAACCGCTGTCAACCATAGGTACAGCTTTTTTCCAACTTCTGTGCAGTGTAGCTGCAGGACTGCGGGGTCGGAGCCGACTTCGGTCGTAGTCGACGGTTTTGGTCGGATAGTTACGGAGTTGGAGTCACCAAAATCGTAACAGACTTCAACTCTGAAGTCAGAGTCAACGTCATCCCCGAGGATGGGTCGAATAAGAGCTGGAGATTCTGTTGGCTGTGGTGATTGTAGGGGTCATGGTAAGACCAATGTAGGGGCGTACTGAGCATTAAGTCCTCCTGGGCTCTCTCAGACCAGGACGAGGTCCTCTCACCCTCAAGCATTAAGCGTTCAAAGGCCATGGTGAGACCTTCTGCTGTCGGATGGCCTCGAACGGGAAGAGGGCCGTTTGAGAGTGAGCTGAAGGTCTTGACTATTACGAATATCCTATGTAAAATGCATGGTCTCTGCAAGCTGTTGTCCTACTGCACTCTGAGACTTTGGGACAGATCTTCAGCCCTTGTTGGATATGGTCGCCCCTACAACTGGAGCTTTGGCTCCCTATCGAGGACCTGGGACGGACAGTCCAGAGCTGCACCTCGTAGATAATGTTATCTTTTAATGTGCCAAGAAACGTTCAGAGACAAAAGCATCACATCACATGTTTTTTTTCACTCCGATGCGGGCCGAGGGATGCCGTGGTCGGAGATGGAGTGGGGACTCCGAGCGTTTTTTTTTTTTTTTTAAGCCGGAGTCGGAGTTACCAAAATCATCTACTCCGCAGCCCTGTAAGCAAGGGTACAGTGTCAGCAATTCGCAGATTCAATTTGTATACGAGTAGGTATCCGCAATTTCATCCTAAAACGACAATACACCAATGTCGTAGGTCACTTTTTAAATCATTCATGGGGATATTTTTGCGGGGGACGTCCCCCCCGGATTCCTCGACTGGGGGGGACGCGTCCCCCCCGTCCCCCCCGGTTTCGACGCCCATGCCGGCTCCGGCTCCGCATCCCTGCTTATATGTCTTGGAAATAAAAGAAAAAACATAATCAAACCTGACCTAACCTTACCTATTTACCTATAACCTCCCAACCTACAACCTACAAACCTACAACCTAACCTAACCTAACCTACAAACCTACCAACCTAAAACCTAAAACCTACAACCTAACCTAACCTAAAACCTAATTTTTTTGCTGTTACATATTCGTATCAACAGCGTCACAATTGTCCACTCGGACCTAATATATACTAATACCAATGTGCACATGTGTTTCAATAAAATTGGCTTAATTTTGGCACAAATAGGCACCCACTTTTCAGCTCAAATCATGAGAAATTTCGGCGCAAATTGCTTGCCGAATTTCGGCACAAGAGGGTCTCAAGATACCGTAGAGAACTCCTGTACCAAAGAGCTAAAAAAAAAACAAGTTTGTTGACGCATCTAGATTTCGATCAGAAGGATTTACCTGGCAATCCTAGTGCCTCATCCGATTCCATTTATCAGGTATCAGGTAAAACCTAAACTCAAAATCCTTAGGGTGCAAAATATCTGTAAGGAATTTACTTACCATCTTACAGGAAAATTCAAGATCACAGAATATAGATGACTGACGATAACAGGCAACCCAGCTCAAATTCCTTCTCCAAATCCTTTATGAACTCGCCTGAGATCGAGATACACAAAATAATTAGTTTGCTATAGAAGCACGGAAATCTGTTCAACTATCATAAATCAAGGCATTGCTCAGGCAAAGCAGCTCAGTGTACACCAATCACAGCGCTGAAGACGTAGGGAGCTGCAAGTTGCTAGGCAACGTTCGGCGTTGGAAACTACGAATTATTTGTAGATGGCTTTTTGAACAGAGGATCGGTGACCGGCGTCAATTTCATTTGTAGCATGTGCGCCAGTTTCCCACGATGACCAGCATTATTGATGTATGTCAAACTGGAGGTACTTTCATATTATGGATATTATTGAATGAAATTGAAGGATGACTGTCAAAGGACAAAGGTAATCACGACGAGGTGACGCGCAAACATGACAAACAAGTACTGATGTCGATAAAAACTTTCTCAAATTTAAATCAGATAAAGGGTTCAATGATCGTCATAGAAAGACTCCGATACCGATACCGATAATGTGGTCGTGAATTCGGCGCTGGCAATTCAAACACCAGCCAAGGCAAGGCAATTCAAACACTTCTTTCAGAGACCATTATTTGGCATCATATATCCAGTGTGTTGAAAGCTACTATCTAGAGGACTGCATATGATGTATGGATGCTAGATTCTCCTCCGTTGGCAATGACTAGAATATCCTACCCATCCTACCAGTCCCAAGTCAAAATGCGGTCATACATTCAGCATGTATTTGGGCATAACCGTTGGTAGTTTCTAACTAATGAGATATCCACACTGGAAATAGCCATCTGTTGTCTCACACGAGTTACGAGCCGATGCGCCACTCAGACCGATCACAGGACAGTCGACCGGCGGCTCACTAGAGGGAGCCACACGCTCAGGCCGTGGGGTGACGACCGAGGCACGGTCTCCACAGCGTCTCCACGGTAGGTATTCATTGGGACCGCACACGCCCGCCATAGCCACAGTACATGCACAACACCGTACACAACATTAAACAAATACATCTGTAACAGCCACTTACTGTTGACAGCTGTGCGCAAGCCAACATACATTCAACATCAAGTAGCGAACGATTGCAATGGGGGATCAAGATTATCCCAAAGCAGTCACACATTATCCCTGATATATATCCGATCCCAGAAGTTGATGAGCCTCCAAGATAAAATGATCTGCCTACTTCATTCAGGAAAACACTCACGGTTGATAAAAACAAACGATAGGATTAGGAATGGTAAATCATCGTAATACTGATCGCATGTGACCGGAACAAATCAAATGCGGAATCAATTTACGACGATACAATGGAATGACCACTCCAGTATTCGAGCGACACTGGGCGAGAATATCTCCACGTAGCCTGTCGATATCGGGATCCGGACGGCGCCAAAAGACACAGTTACCATATAAAGCCGCACCCCGATAGGAGATGCAGTAACAGTCTCGGCAGGCAGCAGACACCCACAAATGAGGCCGATATGCGGCTCATAGAACGGCGCAGTGATAAACGCAAGGTGGGAGATGTACATCAAATCAACACATCAAATTTACAATCTAAACTTTAATAGTCATATGCAAGAAAACGCATAAAGAATGGGGAAAGCGTGACGTGATTCAGACGCAATATGCACAAAATTACACATAAATATTGTACTCGCATCTGCAAAAATATCGCCCCACAAATTGAAATGGAAATTATTCGACAGTCTACAAAAAATCTTAAAACATCGATAAATTTAAAATTGGTCAGACGTCTATTCCAAAGAGAACATTCACCGGGATATGTGCCCTCTAGTCGTGCGTTTCCTGAAACCAGACAATGCCCTCACACTGCGCGGCACCTTGAGGAACGCTGCACCCGAAGGGACCACCCGTCGGCTGTCTTTTGTGCCCGCCGCACGCAGCTGAGACGCGGGCGCAGCGCCGGTCGCCCTACTCAGACAGCAGGGGCGCCGCGAGCGGCTACAGCAGCAACGCTCGCAGCCGCCCTGGCCAGCCAGCAAAGGGCGCCGCGAGCGGCCGCTCTGGCGTCACAGCAGGCAACGCTCGCAGCTGCTCCGACCGGCCGGCGAATACGCCGAGGCAGCCACAGCTCCCGCCGCTGAGGGACGCAGGTCTGCTGCTGACGGACGCCGCGGTAGCGAGCGACCAGGCTCGGTCGTTGTAGGCGACTGGGACAGGTCCTAGGGCCGCTCGTTGGCGGCGGCGTCAGCTAACCTCTCCCTTCTCCGTCGCAGGATCGCCCGCACCTCGTGCCGCAGCACCCAGGAGAGCGACTGAAACGCGGACATATAAAAAACTATCAGATGAAGCAGTGTGTGGTTCGTACGATCAGTACAAATGTTATGGTTAAAAAAAAAGATCGATAATGATGTCAATCATTACTAGCTCGTCTTTTAGATATCAGCGATATAAAGGAAAATGCTTGCTTTAGAGTATTAGTGCTTTGTTTCTGGCATTTTCAATACATCTTTTTCTCATATAATCTAATTGAAGCCAATAAGAACAAAACATCGATGCCAGAGGTTATCCGTACAGCGTCAAAACTCAGCATTCAAAGTACACCACATTACTGAGACGGCCGGCCTGCAGAGACTCTCAGGCAGTCTCAATTAACCCGTGACCGGCCTGCACCCAGGGGCCGCCCGCTGTGAGTGGGGGCGTTCTTACCGCTATGGCAATGGCGTCCGAGCACATGAGGATGACGAACACGCCTGTCCAGTTGTCACCGCTGGAGGCGACTCCGGCCAGCAGTGGCCCGAGCGCGGCACCCACCGAGCCCGTGCCTGCGGGGGGGGGGGGGGGGGGGGGGGGGGGGGTAGGGGGTCAGAGGGGTGACCAGCAGTGGCCCGAGCGCGGCGCCCACAGAGCCCGTGCCTGCCGGGGGGGGGGGGAGCGGGGGGGGGGGGTCAGAGGGGTCCAGAGGGGTGGCCAGGTCAGGTGAGCCTGAGACCATCGCGACGGCCATCATCATCATCATCATCATCATTCAAAGCCATGTGTGGCTAAGAGGGAATAACACACGAATAATAAACAGGAATATAAAGTAACAAAGATACAGCTGCTGCTGGAGTCACAGTCACTTAATTTATCCCTCAGTTTATAATACTGTGGTGCCACCCTTGGTAATGATAGTTAAATAAAAACCGAGAATATATGTATATTTCACATGTAAATTCATCGATAATTCTTAGACTCAATGAAATCATGTATCGACAATCATTTGCAGCCCAAGCCAAGCAATTATTGCGAGCTTACTCGCACTCGTCCAATTTCTACGAGACAGCATAGGAGGCTTTGATCATTGAGGGTTTCTGAGTATCTAGGAGTTTGTGTACCGAGCACTTGCAGATTTGTGGCGAACGAAGTATCTAAAGCCTTCATTCGAAGCAACCCTTCAAGCATCGTCAAAACAAACTTCTGTCTGCCATCCAGCTTCACTGCATTCTCTGGCTGTTAATCGTCCAGTAAAAATAGAAATGGTGGCTTAGTCTGATTCATCTTTAGACCACGTATGTCGTTAGTTGTTGCCTAAATATTCCCTTTGTTTGATAAATCATGACTGAGTTTCTGGCGCAGGCTGATCAGATAATATCGATGACGAGATGTGGCAATAGCGCCGCTTCGGAGAAGACTTCAGGGTGCTGATTGCTGAGGACACAGTACGCCAAATGGGCGGACAAGTGGCCCATTTCGACACCCTCACTCGGTTGTGTTGCGCCGGTCCGACTACGGTCTATTGTTCTCGTCAAGGATGGGTCACTCAAGTGGCGGCGCGCTGCACCGTAACCGTGACAAATGTCAGCCGTGCCCCCCGCGTCCCGACCGTCACGGGACACCTGTGCAGACGTCGATACGAGTCGCGACTCGTGGTTGGCTGCCACGCCCCGCTCAGTCTCTGGGAGCAGCTACCCACCCGTCCCCGCTCAGCCTCCAGGAGCAGCTGCTTTCCCCACCCAGCTACCCACCCGCTCCCCGCCCAGTCGCTGGGAGCAGCTGTCCACCCAGCTCCCCGCCTAGCCTCTAGGAGCAGCTGCCTTCCCCACCCAGCTCCCCACCCGCTCCCCGCCCAGTCTCTGGGGACAGCTCCCCACCCGCTCCCCGCCCAGTCTCTGGGGGCAGCCGCCCGCCCGCCCGTCCCGCCCTGTGGCGGTCCGTCCCGTCACCCACCGTCAATGATGGCCGTCACGGTGGCCAGCGCCTTAGCGTTTCCACGCAGCGAGGTGCCCAGGTCGGCCGAGACGGCGGTGGTAATGAGCGCGTACGGCCCGTTCACCAGCAGGCCGACCAGCACCAGCAGCAGCATGTTCAGCTGGTGGCTCACCGTGGCCACCGCCTGGTACACAAACATCTGCCAGCGGGGCAAATACACCGTGTCAGCGTGAGCCACAAACATCTGCGAGCGGAACACGAACCGAGTCAGGATAACACACAAACATCTGCGAGCCGATAACGCAACGTGTCAGGGTGACCCACAAACTACCGCGCGCGGCAATCTCAGGGTGGTTGTAACTGGTATACAACGTACGGTTCGGTATACAAGCACTTATGGGTGGTCGAACGAACACCTGTATCTGTGCCGGCAAATGCACCACGCCAGAGCAAAGGCGCAGGAGTGATATGGAATGATGCGAGCATAAGGTACAATGTCATGTCGAGTCATAACATTATGTTACGTTAAAAATTATTGTGTGGTTAAATAACTTTCAAAACTTACGCACGGAGGTGCTTTTGCAGCAGAATCGGCAAAAAGAGGTTCAAGCATATCGGGATCAATGCCAGCATTGCCTGGCTGACTGCCCAGTGCCCAGGCCCACCGGCACTGACCCGCCTTCAGCCGCGGCTGTGCTCCATAACACACCAGCGGGCTGGCACTGCGGCCCGGCCGACTCACATGGGGATGGCACTGCCGGCCCTCCTGACTCACCAGAGCCGGACGTTACTACAGACCCGGCCGACTCACCAGCGCGGGACATTACTGCTGCCCTGCCGACTCACCATCGGGACGACACTGCTGCTCCGCCACCCGACTCACCATCGGGACGATACTACTGGCACTGGCTCCGCCACCCGACTCACCATCAGGACGGTGCTACTGCCCCGGCCACCCGACTCACCATGGGGATGGCGATGATGAGCAGGATGACGCAGACGATGCCGGGCGTGCCCGTCCAGTCGTTGGCCAGGCCGGCCAGGATGCCACCGATGATGCCGCCCATGTCAAACAGCGTCGACAGGTTGGCAGACTGGCTGGGGCTGTACCCGGCTGTGGTACAGACAGCGGCTGTCAGACATACAGTACAGACTCGCTGGGGCTGTACCCGGCTGTGGTACAGACAGTGACTGTCAGACATACAGTACAGACTCGCTGGGGCTGTACCCGGCTGTGGTACAGACAGTCAGTGTCAAACACACACACGGCACAGACTCGCTAGGATTGTACCCAGCTGTGACAAAATAAGACAACGACCGTCAGACGCACACAGTCTGACCCGCTGAATTATTAGTTGACGATCAGTATCAGATGAACATACTATCACCAGTGAACGCCTTTTGGGCGTGGAACGAGCGAGCGAGATAGTGAGCCCTGCACGTGCGGAAGGGCGAGAGAGTACTTCCAACGGGCTTGTGCAAAGCACCCTTCTAACCGGTCGCTAGCGGTGTGCCAAATTTGAACGCAATCGGCCCAGCCGTTCCTGAGATCTGGAAGCGGCATTCTGCACGTGCGCACGTGCAAACGGGGTCCAAAATGACTTTTGCACGGCACCCTACTAACCGGTCCCCAACCGTGTACCAAATTTGAGCGCAATCGGCCCAACCGTTCTCGAGATCTGGAAACGCCCCTGCACGTGCGCACGTGCAGTAGCACCCTAACCGCAACACATGGGAATGCATTGCTGGTGGGTGCCTACCTGTATGCCAAGTTTCAGCGAAATCGCCCCAGTAATTACCGAGTTACTGAAATGGGAACAAATTTGGCACCTCTTCTTTTTGCATTTTGCACTGCAGTGGGGGTCACTCACATATATCAATAGTATCCGACCTTTGGTAGAAGGGATGCGCCAGCTACCCTACAAAAATTACCGCAAGATAATCGCCCAAACCGCTGCTGAGATATAGGCCTCTCAAAAATACTACTTTTGCAAAACTGCTTGAACACCCCTGACTTTTCACGTGGCACGTGCCACGACGGTCACTGAGATGTATCAAAAGTAGTCAATTACGGGGTAGAAGGGATGGGGTTACCCAGCAAAAAAGACCGCAGGCCAATCGGTCCAGCGGTTGCTGAGATATCATATAACCCTCTCAAAAGCGTTACAGGCCGGGCCGGGCCGGGCCGGGCCGCTCATACTGATATTTTTCCGTTATATTGAAAAGACTTCGCTTCGCTCGCTGCGCTCGCTCGCTCGTAATCATATATGGAACATATGTACTATCGTATATGGAGCACCAATGATATAAATAACGCATTATTTCAGTTCACTACCCTACTGAACCCAACAAGCCCCATTGTAACATCGCCTTCCGTTCAGATTAAGCTCGGAGCCCCGAGTTCGGGCTCTATGTCGCGACACCCGTCGTGGGACAGTCAGGCCGATAGTGTCTCACCGGCCGAGTGGAGGTAGCGCGGCAGCCAGTAGAGGAACGTGTAGCTGACCAGCTTGGCGAAGAACAGGCACACCGAGAACGGCAGCACACCCTGCCGAGACGACACGGGTCAGGGACCGGCACTGAGGGGGCACACTGAGAACGGCAGCACACCCTGCCGAGACAACACGGGTCAGGGACCAGCATTGAGGGGATACAACGAGAACGGCAGCACACCCTGCTGAGACGACACGGGTCAGGGACCGGCACTGAGGGGGCACAACGAGAACGGCAGCACACCCTGCCGAGACGACACGGGTCAGGGACCGGCACTGAAGGGACAAATGTAAGATAAAAAAAGACAAAAACATTTAATGCTGCGTCACATGGTCCTTGCATGCACTAACCTACTATGCTGGCGCTCTAAAATGCACGTAAGCCTGCATCAAAAGCCAAACAAACTCGAATTCTGGGATTTGTAAAGCATATTGTCGTGCTCCCTTCCGGCCTATCATCCCAAGTCCGTCCCAACCGCGTCCCACTCTAGCCCACCCGCGCCCCCCACCATCCCATACCGCACACCCGCCCCCCACCATCCCATACCGCACACCCGCCCCCCACCATCCCATACCGCACACCCGCCCCCCACCATCCCATACCGCACACCCGCCCCCCACCATCCCATACCGCACACCCGCCCCCCACCATCCCATACCGCACACCCGCCCCCCACCGTCCCATACCGCACACCCGCGGCCCCCACCGTCCCATACCATCCATTCGCGCCCCACGGTCCCAGACCGCACACCCGCGTCCCACCGTCCCACACCGCACACCCGCCCCCCCCCCCACCGTCCCATACCGCACACCCGCGCCCCCCCCCCACCGTCCCATACCGCACACCCGCGCCCCCCACCGTCCCATACCGCACACCCGCGCCCCCCACCGTCCCATACCGCACACCCGCGCCCCCCACCGTCCCATACCGCACACCCGCGGCCCCCACCGTCCCATACCGCACACCCGCGCCCCCCACCGTCCCATACCGCACACCCGCGCCCCCCACCGTCCCATACCGCACACCCGCGGCCCCCACCGTCCCATACCGCACACCCGCGGCCCCCACCGTCCCATACCGCACACCCGCGGCCCCCACCGTCCCATACCGCACACCCGCGCCCCCCACCGTCCCATACCGCACACCCGCGGCCCCCACCGTCCCATACCGCACACCCGCGCCCCCCACCGTCCCATACCGCACACCCGCGCCCCCCACCGTCCCATACCGCACACCCGCGGCCCCCACCGTCCCATACCGCACACCCGCGGCCCCCACCGTCCCATACCGCACACCCGCCCCCCCCCCCACCGTCCCATACCGCACACCCGCGTCCCACCGTCCCACACCGCACACCCGCGTCCCACCGTCCCACACCGCACACCCGCCCCCCCCCACCGTCCCATACCGCACACCCGCCCCCCCCCCCCCCCCCCACCGTCCCATACCGGTATCCGGATGGCGGCGAAGAAGCTGACGGCGCCCTCGTCGTCGCCGCCCTCTGAGACCGGCGACTCGAGCGGCACGGGCGGCTTGCTGTCGGTCAGGTCGGCCTGCGAGGAGCTCCCTTCAGCACTGCTCTCGTCCGAGGACGGACCCTGCCGGGGGCGATCAGCCGAACCGGTCAGATCGGGAGGGTACAGCTGGGGCGATCAGCCGAACCAGTCAGATCGGGAGGGTACAGCTGGGGCGATCAGCCGAACCGGTCAGCCCGAGAGGGTACAGCCGGGGCGATCAGCCGAACCGGTCAGATCGGGAGGGCACAGCTGGGGCGATCAGCCGAACCGGTCAGCCCGAAAGGGTACAGCCGGGGCGATCAGCCGAACCGGTCAGATCGGGAGGGCACAGCTGGGGCGATCAGCCGAACCGGTCAGCCCGGGAGGGTACAGCTGGGGGGCGGGGAGGGTAGAGTGGGGGGCGGGGATGGGGGCGGTTAGGGAGGGAGGTTTGTGGCTGTAAAACGTGATATGCTGCAGTTGCGGCGCCCTTTTTTACGAAAGTCCAAAGGTACGCACTACGCGACAATTCACCATCTGATAAGCAAAGATTCGAGTTGTTCGTGAGCTTAATACAAAGAGTCATGAAATGTTACAAAGTAGAAAAAAGCGCCGTTAACCCAGTTGATAACAATAGCACGATATGCGATCAAGATAAACATTGCGTATTTTGATCCAGGTCCATCTAGGAAGGCATTGCTTTTTTATTGAATGGCTGCGTGTTAAATCGATAGCAGTACAACAAATCATTCGCTTCCATATTTCATCATAACATCTTTTGACAAAAACGACCGACTTCACAGATAACGGAAAAGAAACAGTTCACAATTTATATGAGGCCGTAAAGAGCGATAAGATTGAGTGCTCGGAAAAAGTGGCACACAGGTCACCTAGGCAAGTGATCAAGATAGCGCTAGGAGAAAAAGGATTGTATTCATTCATACCGACACCACATTGCTGGCGTAAGCGAACGAGTTAGTGGGAAGCCTTTGCTATATTTACTGACCTAGAAAACTTTACGTTATCAATTTAAGTCATTAATTGGAATTTTGAACAATTTTATCATATCCTGGAGAACATCTCATTATCATAACAAGGAGAGCATTTCCATCACCAGAACGAGAAAATATCAGAGCTGCGCAGCAGAAATAGTTTGCTGCAGGATATAGCCGGCCATAGCGTCCACCGGCTCAGCGACTTCATATGGCTGGTGAGCCTACGGCTGCTCCCGACCGCAGGCCACTGCCGACCGGAGCAAACTCGAGTGCAGAGGCGGATAAAACTGGCTCTCATCGCCTTCCGGCTGTGCACTGCGATACTCTCCCGACAAAAAGAGACTTATTCGACGATCACAGTTATCTGCCACCCGGTGGTCCCGTTTGAAGTTCAGCGGCTGACAGCGCGGTAGTAGCGGGGGCGGAGACGCTCGAACACCATGGCCCCAGCGACCGGTGCGTGTAGGTAGTTTGATACAGAGATAGTGCGCCGGCGTGAGAGGGCGGGCGGGCGGCCCGACCGACCGCCCAGCGCCTGTGGCCGCCTGGGGGTCGGTCGGCAACAGGTCAGGAAGTATATCAGCCGGCCATCGACAGGCGGGGAGGGGACGCAGGGGGAGGTACCGGCGCCCGCGCTCAATAGGGCTCTGATAGAGTGTGACAATGACGGCCGCAGTGCCGGGGGCAGCAATGGGCCCGGCTGAGAGCCCATTAGCACCGTCCGCGCTGTGACGGCACAGATAGCGGACGCCGCGGCGACAGTGACGATGCAACGTACAGTCTGTCTTAAAAGTACCGCGCAAAGTGACGGTGGATCCATCGAGCCTGACTGAGGAATGGCCTGCTAAATTTGGGTCACCGAAGCAATTGACATCCTCGTCCATTCCCTAGGTCAATTGGTCGGTGACTTTCAAATTAAAGCAAGCTCTTTCTCAGTCAGGCTTGATGGATCCACCGCCACTTTGCGCGGTACTTTTAAGACAGACTGTACGTTTCGACGGCGATATTCTATCAATGGAGCGCGGCCCGGTTACCGCCGGCACACGCCGGCAGTGTGAGTATGGAGCGGACCCTGCCCAGAGTGCCATCATCAGCCAATCGAGTGAGCTGGTGACGGGGGCGGATTTCGACAGCGGCGACTGCGCAGAGCTGTCATGGGCGTATCAATATCGGCACCCGGTGCTCGCGGCTGACAATGAGACGAGCCCCACGATACGAACAGCAGCGAGAGTGATTAGCAAGAACGAGCAGGGAGAAATCGCAGCTGGACCCGAGAGAGTACCTTGAACAGCGCTCACTTGACCTAAAAAAGACCGTCCTGTGAACTATCCGGGTCAAGTTCACGGGTGATAGCGAAAACTGTAAACCATATTAGCTGAAAACATCTATGAATGTGAGAGGAAAAAACGTTTAAACTACAAGCCAACCTGCACACAGTTATAAGCCACAATACTGCCTGGTGCCGAAAGATGCGCAGGCGTTGTAAAAAAATCGAAAGCACATACAAGTAGGTACTTAATTTAACCCGCGCACCGACGGGGGTCTGCGCCAACTTAGTACCGACGGGGGGGGGGGCGGATGACCGCCCCCCCCCTGAGATCTCGAGAACGAAGCAAGATAGCGACAAGCGGTAAACGGCATCGGATACGCACGGTCAAGATCTACAATTTTTACAAAGGTCATTTTCAGGTCAGGTCAAAGATGACGTCACAGGGGTCGAAAAAGTCAAAATGGCGGCGCTAAATATGGAGAGAGTTTTTCTCGAATAACTTTCGAATTGGTCAAGATAGGAACAAACTAAGGGCATCATCGTGATCCTCTCGTCAATCCGCATCGAATGACATATATGTTGACCTCGAAAGGTCAAGGTCAAAGGTTGACCTCAGGTCACGTGACCTCGAGGTCATCATGTATATCATTCGATGCGTCTTGACGAGCTGAACACAATGAGACCATCCACGCGTCTGTATCTTGTTCCTGTACGGAGTTATTGGCCAAAAACCTTTGGTGACCTTGATGACGTCACATGACCTCACAGCTGCCCAACAGCAAAACAGACCTCAAGGTAGTGAAGGTTGATCGTATATGAAGTCATGTATGGTATATGGGGCCATTCCGACCCGTTTTAGTAGTAAAAACAGGGAGTTGATTTTTCCCCCATTGACTTATAATGGGGAGGTCGCGAAATTGACCTGACCTTAGGTCACCGATATCAAAATTCCGAGATATACAAATTGTAGCTACTAATGACCTAATAACATCCTGCGACTTTCAAAGGCCACCGACATCTACTGTAGCTGGGGCATTCCACGTCAAATCGAACAAAAATCGGCCGTTTTGCACCTTACCCTCAGCGATTTCATTATAAATTTGTGAGCGAGTTCCTGTGTCGCCCCGAACATTACATTGATGTTTTTTGCACATTCTGACCACAGGTCTTCTAAATATAGGGCATCAAATTTTTACAAAATGTTGCATCTTTATATTTTTGAACGACCATAACATTGGTTGTACTTGTTTGATTTGAATGAAATAAACCTTACTGTTTAGGTAATTTCTTAAGCATTTGTTTAGAATTGCACCTACTTAAATATATGACCTTGAAATTTGCTTAACTCTGTTCTTAAGCACAAAAATTGAAATAGCAAAAAACACGTCACCTTCGATTTAGCTAATTTTCATATATTTTATTGCCTACCATATTCTTAACAACCTGTGAAAAAATTAGAGTGGGCCATTCATAAGTTTTGAAGAAAATGGCACATATGCAAACGTATGTTGGCACGCGCAGTGGAGGGGGAAGAGTGAATTTCGCCCCACCCCTCCTGTTTTTCGCCAATATCTCATAGTATTAATGCGAAATTAATTATAGCTACCTGTCCAAAATTGAATTGCACATCTCATCGTGCCAGCAAGAAGAAAATCGGTTCACAACTGGTCTAGTAATAGCGGTGTAAAGTGAATATGTCCTGTCGCCGCGGCGACGCGGCGACTCGGCAGCCGGCGCCGACCGCTAGCCGCCGCCTGAATTGTAGACTGTGCCGGGACGGAACGGAACGGTTCCGTCTTTACATCGCGCTCCTTACAGCTGATTACGTTCGATTCGCGTCAAATTTTGTGAGAAGACTAAAAAATGTACAGGAAATCTTATGGTGTAAGAATTTTGAAAATCGGTTGGTAAACAATTGAAATATGAACGTGTAAACACAAAATTGTGATTGCTGCGTTTCCCGCGTCGGCCGATCCCGCCTCAGCCGGCGACATGTTACTCTTAGCAGGTCTCTAACTGCCATATTTATTATTAGATTAACTAGAAATTCCCCATACATACTCAAAAATGTATATTCTTTCGTATAGTGAAGATAAAAAGACGTGAAGATATCGTTGCGTGATAATGTTTTCATTGAATTTTTGGCTTCATGATGCATTTCCACACGGCTCAAAATTCACCGCAAAATACCGTTTGCCTGAGACACTTTTACTATGGAACTTGAATGCTTGACTACGATGACTATGTATTTCCATTCTCGCAGAGTTTGGGATATCACTAATCAGCAATCATTCATTTCAGAAAGTGAACACAAGCAAGCATGTCTTGACTCTGTCTTTCAAGGTCACGCGTGGTTGCGTGATGTTGATGCATGAAAACGGCGTTTGCCGCGAGAGTTATGAATGGCCCACTCCAATTTTTTCACAGATGGTTAGGAACATTGTGACGGACATAATATGTAAAAATTACCCGAATCGAAGGTGACGTGTTTTTTGCTATTTAAATTTTTCTGTTTTAATTCAAGGTCAAATGCATTTCAAGGTCACTTCAATTTAATTTTATAATTAAAAATCAAAGCCTTATCAATTGCCTACAAGACCCTGTTAATATCATTTTGATACCAGAAAAGGAACCAGAGTTATAGACATTTAAAAAATTGATGTGTGGCATTTTTGGCTATATTCGATGACCTATATCTCAACGATACTTTATCAAATTTTGAAAATATTATACGTAACACAGTTTTGAACCATGCCCAGTCTGTCTACAAATTTTCAGAAAAATCGAAGGGGATGACGGATTTCGGTGTTTGATTTGACGTGGAATGCCCCAGCTCTGGCACGGTGACAAAGTTGCAAAAAAGTGACTTGAGGTTGGGTCATTCAAAGTGACCTGGTGACCTGACCTTGAAAGGTAGGAGGTTTAAACTTGCACACCATGTGTAAAATTGATAAGGGAATAGTCATACCAAATTTCGCGGCGCTACGCGCCGCAGTTTTCCCGCTATTCGCGAAAAACCTCAGGGGGGGGGCGGATATCCGCCCCCCCGTCGGTGCGCGGGTTAAACGCCCGGAAGCATTTCCGCTAAGATGCTGGATATCGTAGGTACTAAATATACTAAACACGTGGGGTCAACACGCGGAAACGCGGAATAAGCATGACATCTGGGACAAATCACACGCGTCCGCATAAAAAAATATCATCCGATCATCCGGCCAGAGTTCAAAGTGGAGAATGTGGGCTCCATCACCTCCACCTAACCTTCGTAAACAAAATAATCAAATTAAAACCGATGAATACGCTGAAAACATCAGGACAACTACCGTATCGGACAAAGTACACAAGTGTTACGTCAACGCCACGTCCAGTCGGCACGGTCACATAATACTCTGAAAAAAAAGGCTGACAAGTGGATTGACGTTGGGGCTCGGCCTGACGGCCACGCTCGCGCGCTGAACACTGACCTGACGGCCGCGCATCCACGCTGGACAGTGGACACTCACCTCGCTGATGAGGCCGGCCAGCTCGTCGGCGGAGGCGGCGGCGGTGGCGCGGGCGGCCGAGCGCCGGCGACCGGTGACGCTGCCGTACACGCCGCCCTGCGACAGCCACACCGTAAGCGGGGGACGCGACGAGACCAGCCCTGCCCCGCGGCAGAGCACCCCGGGACTCCAGGGCGAACACACAGACCGACACCCAAACGGGATACGAGAACAGCACACATGGACACAAAGGACATGAGACCTCCAGCAAACGGGACATGCGACTGGACGCCCAGACGAGACACATTATAGACTTCCAAACGGACAACCGGGCGGGACACATTATAGACTTCCAAACGGACACCCAGACGGGACACATTATAGACTTCCAAACGGACACCCAGACGGGACACATTATAGACTTCCAAACGGACACCCAGACGGGACACATTATAGACTTCCAAACGGACACCCAGACGTGGCCCGTTACCGGAGGCGAACACGGAATATACAATACATACACCCAACGAGCACAGGGATTAAACATAAAACCGACACAAGGATAGGACCAGCATACCATACTTTTTAATTCGTTAAGTGTTTGCTGAATGTAGGTAAGGCATTTAAATCGATTGTTTTTGAATGAACTCCTTACCAAAATTATACTGTTTACATTCATATAGTTTTGTTTTAGTTGAATTTTCGGCCACGGACCATGATCACATCAATGCCAAAATATAAGAAGCATAGCAAATCAATGTTACCTAGTTTATTTCAAACCCGTAGTTAAAGGGACTATCCCACCTTTAACATGGGGTTTGAGTTGAGATAGCCAAGTTTGCGGCGAGGTTCAGAAACCACTATCTATCTAGGTTGCAACCCCCGCGGCCTCTTGGTGTTGAAGAAATTCGTTCCCTTCATTTGAAAATGGGCCTTGCACAAGGCCCTATCTTCAACATGGAGCGACCGTTAGTGTGACGTCACCTCGTTTAGTCATTCTGATTTAAATGGGTTTGTTCGTTGAAAAATCGCTTAAAACTTGGTCTGAACTTTGTTGTGGTGCCTACAGAGTAAAAAGAATCAGCTTTATGACAGTAATGTGGCCTGGGGAAGGAGGCAATTTTGGGCTGTGACGTCACATATTTGAAAGTTTGTGTTTGGAATATGGGAAGCCTGAGATGTTTAATGAAAAATAAATGCCAGAACCGTGTTCCTGGCCATCCAATCTATAATGTCGGGCACAATTTAACTGGTTTTAAAGGTAGTGTGCCACCTTTGAAAGATTTCCCATTTTATTTTTCCTAGGATAAGAAGCTTCTGTTTTTACCTAATATCGCAAACAAATCAAAAATGGGCCTGGAATAGTGCCTTTTTCGCCTAAAAGTTTTTCGGTTTTTAGATATGTATAACAACTGTAGTGGGCTCACCTGCAAACAGGCGTCGGGCAACAATCGCGAATGCGGCGCACTTGTGACAATAAGCAAAGGTCATTATAGTGTTACGACCATACGACGTACGGGAATGAGTTATCAGCTGTCTAATCGTAGACAACACAATGTCGAGCCTTAAACTGTAAGCCCGTATTGGTATTGTTTCTTTTATTTGGCTGTCGAACATTATTTATGGTTTGAAATATGATTTTATGTAAAATAATTGATATGAAAAAGCCGTCTTATAAGTTATGACCCCATTTCACCACACGCAAGTGGCAGAAATGACAATGATCAGCTGACGCATTTTTCTTGGCCGAAGTCAGAGCGCGCGGCCCGACGCACCACGCGTATTTGGAAATTCCGACCTCGACGAGCATCAGAAGCCACCTAACAAGCGTGTTCGAAACCGCAGGAGCTGATGATGAACGGGTTTATCGAAACTTGATTGGATGAGCATATCGGTAATAGCGATTTCAGTGTGTGCATTTATTGTTCATAGTGGTGTGAAATGTGGTTGGGGTACGACCGACAACCCGTCGGGGCGAATTTCGCACTGGGGTACTCAAAATTTGAAGAATTTAAGACGTTTCCATGAGTTTTGAAGGTATGGATAAGTTCTAAAAATCCGGTTCTCCTTATCTGGGCCATTAACTCCATACGGTCCAAGATAGCTGGCACACTACCTTTAACAACATTTTAGAAGGTGGGATAGTCCCTTTAATGATGACGTACTCGTAAATGCCTTCGAATCTTTTAAACGGATTCCCGACCAGAAGATTCTGCGTTGGGAAAAACGCAGGCTACAAGGGGAAAAGACAACTTCCCATACCCGGCATCCTTCCTAATTTGTAACAATAAGGAACGGTTCACAAACTAGTTTGATGTTCTCAGCAAGTTTTTATTGCAAACAATATTCACCCATGCCTTATCAAACAATAAAACAATACAGCAAGAACATTTCGCTAGGCATCTGCCTAAGCAAGCATAGCACTTGACCTACATAGCTTGAAAAGAAAATATGACAGCAGGTCAATCTTGAACCCGCTGAACATATCCGGGCGTGCGGAAAGCATGAATACGAGATTGAGACAGACAGTAACAAGCTGTTAAAGAGATGCTTAAGACGACCTAAATTATGCAAAACTGAGACCGCTACAGACTTCCGAAAAAAATCACTTTAATATGAAATAGCGAGCTAGAGCGTAATGAAAATAATAATCTTCGCAAGTTCCTTGCACGTGAAAAGTTGTATGCTGCTGGCAAAGCGCCAAGCCTTCACTCATTGCTCAATATCACATCTTGCTAACCTACCTAAAATGAAAGAGCTGTCCTGAATATTCGCAGCCATCTGCGTCGGTCGTCACCACACCAGCCTCCCCCGTTCACACCCACTTCTGGTCGCTGTTGCCACCGCGGCGAGCCCCGCCCTGCCCTCCACTGGAGCCTCCCGGGGCCGCGCCTCCGACGGCCGCCGGCTGGATGAGCTCATCGCCACCCGACTGGACGCCACTGTAGACCACGCCGGCGGCATTGGCCTGGCGCAGCTGCCAGTAGTAGGACAGCACCACCAGCCAGCTGTACCAGGAAGCCGCGCAGACGATCGTCACAGCCACAGACGAGACGCCGAATGCTGCCGAGGTGATCTCTGTGCCACCGATGTAGCGGAACACGATGGATGCTATGAACATGGCCAGGTTTCCGGCGGTGATGATACCGAACAGGATGCCCCTGAAGATCAGCCAGGAGAGCAGGTGGCACCGGCTCGACCGCGGCCGTGTCCCCAAGACGTGCACGCCGTACAGCAGCAGACTGTCGAACAGCAGCTGTATGGCAGCGAAGACAGTCAGCGGTGCCAGCGCCACCACACCGGGCAAGTAGTCACGATACCGGTAGAAATCCTGAAACTGATCAAGCGCCCTGTACAAGCTGTAAGCGTATGCCCTCACTGCGTCAGCCCAGCCCCAGCCGCTGAGCACGGCGAGCGTCTGCAGCAGGCTCAGCACCAGGTAGACAATGGCCACGGCCAGCGCGCCGTGGCGCAGGCTGCAGCAGCAGCAGCTTCGCAGCAGGGACACCATCGCAGCAGGCAGACGTTGGCGGGCGCGGCGCCCCACTCCACCGGCCGGCTGTGCACTCTCCGACCGCCGCGCTGGGCGCTCGTCAGGCTGCGCTCAGCGGCGGGAGTTTCTGGCCGTCTGGTAGCTGGTCCGAGTGCTGCAGTATCTCCTCAGAACACCAGAGCTGTCTTCAGACTGCCACAAGCGCTGGCGCACCGAGCCTCGTAGGACCGTTTCCAACACACTGTCCGCCGCCAGGGCGGAAGGGAGCCTGGAGCTTGCCCCGGCCCCTGGTTTGGTGCAGCTCAGCACAGCGTCCCCGCAGCGGGGAAGGGCGCTGCTGCACCGCGTGCCATGGGCGACTCCAGGGAGACCCACCCGGGGGTGAGTAACGCTGCCACGGGGACGGCTGAGGCTAGACAGGGGCTGAACAGACATTTCTAATGGGTATTTCATGCCGAAACGATAGGCGATAAGAAAATACAGCATTACTCGTTGCACTGTTAGTACGGAAAACGAGGACATAGCCAGTGAGCGTTTCGATGCTTTGCGACCCATTGGCGCCATGGACCAAAGCCAAAGCTACCATGGGGCCAAATTCAGTGTCTGGCTGTCGACAGGGGCGAGGCTGTACTGCAGGCCGGGCGGGGTCAGGGGGTACACTACCACCGCGCCGGTCCGGGCGGTGTTTTCACGGCCGCTGCCAGCTCGCTGCAAGCACACGTGGTAGATTCGGTTTCCATGAAGACATCAAAAAAATTCGGACGCTCCAACCTTGAGTGACTTGACCATAGCCTATGACGTCAGTCAGCTCGCGAAATGCGCTGACAGCGTGGTAGGGTAGCAGCATGGATGTAGCAGCGTACAGGCAGCGGCCATGAGACCCACCGGTATGACGGTGCAGGCCGCAGAGGGAATGTGTGTGTGTGGGGGGGGGGGGCGCCCCTCCCTCCGAGGCAGGCCGTGTTTGGAATGGAGGGAGTTCCCCGAGTGGCGTCTGGGTGGCACAGAAGGAGCTATGACCTATGTTATAGCTATATGAGCTAAGAATATGACCTAAACCTTTCTTATTTCTCGAAGAAAAATCATTCGACCGTAACACTATTTTTGCAGTAGTTTTTACAAAATATAGGTAAAAGCACATTTTTTAATGTGAAAAAGTTTTTTTCTTTTTGCAAGAGGGAAGCAGTAGGTACTTGTAGTGCTTGCAACACCCACCGAAAAGGCATTGTCCTCTATACAAAGTCGCAGTGTATGGCGTTTGTGTCACAAACAATGCCGCTTTAGTTTTTGAATATTATCGCCTTTGTCATTGTCAAGGCCCTATACCGTCATTGCTTGGTTGCCACTTGTCAGTGTTATGAGTATTCGGATTAGTTTTCAAGAAGATGAAAAGATTATCTATAGTTCGTTTTTTTTTTCAAAAGGACGCTGGCTCCAAGTATGTTTTTTCGAACAAGCACGTGTTTTAGCGAGCAAAACGAGCAAAAACTGAACCTGAGAAAATCGAACGTCGACTAATTTTAACATGTGATTTCTTCCCGATATTAGAAACAAACATTTACCAACATACAGGTTACAACGGATACAATATAATGCACAGATACCTAACGCTAAGGCTCAGCTA